ACTCGGATATGCAATCTGGGATTGTCTGCTAAATTGTCTCTTGAGAATTTATTCTTCTGAGTTGCTGTGGTTAACTTAATAATAACTTAATAAATATGGTTATGGTAATTTGTTCTTGATGCTTCATGAAAGTTAATTCTCACAACCTCCAGTAGGAAAGTTTAAAATAACGATGGTTAAATTCGAAAAAAAATTTGAAACACCATCTAGCTCTTAAGGACTTCAGTCCATTTCTGTCAAAACAGATCATTGAAAACCTTGAGGGTCTGGTGCAAAAATCAGCTGGTTTGTGGGAGTAGCTTTCTTTGTTTAATTAGTTTGTTCAATTAGGTGCTGGTATGATTGAAGTTGTCTCCTTATATTGATTTATTTATGATTAAACAAAGTTATCGATGTACATTTGAATAATAGAAATCACTAAAATTTATCCGTATAAGTTTTTTTAAATTTAATTTGGTGTCGCAGTTTTCGATCGTTTCCACAAAAGGCTCACTTAAGAGAAACAAGACATTGGGCATAAGCTTTGATTGTTTTGACCGTCCTCTAAATTTTTGAATAAATTTACAATATGTTGAACCTAGAATAGGTTGTACTGCAAACGGAGCTTGAAGTATATTGCGAAGCATTTTTCGTGCCATGAAGCTCATGTTCTTGATGTCAAAGATAGCGATTACGCTTACGATTAGCAAGCGTTAATAATTCTACTACACCAGATAATAGATGTTTTTCGAATTGTTAAGTTGTTTAGCAGAATCACTGAATCATTTGATCAGCTTGCCAAGATCTAACTACCAATAAGATATTAAGCGCAAAGGTACCAATTTAACCAGGGGCGGATCTAGGATATTCTCGAAATGGGTTGGGCGGATTTTCAAAAAATGTTCGAAAATTTTGTCGACTTTTTTTTAGGTCGATCAAATTGATTTTCCGAGCTCTTCCAAAGCAGTACAAAGACCCTGTTTTGGCCGAAATTTATGTGCCGCAGTCAAAACTGAAAAAAGCGTGTTTGGGCTCTTTTTGGAAAATGTTTACCAAAAAGTCGCGTTTTTTCGGCGCGCGCTCCCCCCTCAAAATTAGCCTTAAGAAAAATTTTACGGTCGGTCGGCCAAAAATGGATTTCATAACATAGTTCAAAGGGGGACTTTTTGAGTCCGCAGGGTGTCGAATCCCTTAGGGGGCTGGGAGCAAAAATGTAACACTCACGAAAACTGTGATCGTCTTCTTATTTCGATTTCATGTTTCAGATTTCCGAGCATAGTAAAACTATCTCTTGATCCAGTTTTACCAAATTGAGTTAATTTTATCGATAATGTCAATCATAAATTCTTGAATTTCAAAAGTTTTAAATCCTTATATATTGTACTTAAAATATTGGTTTTTCTTTCAGATTCTTTGCGCTCAATGATTTTTTCCATCTGTCTAATGGCTGTTTTCGTGGTACAAGTCAAGATATGCGCTTCAAAAAATTATACTGCTTAAAAATCCTTTGTTGTTGAAAACGTCATTGAATTTTCTTTTTATTTGCGAGGATTTCAATTTTCAAATTGCGCGCAGATTAAAAGATTAATCTTTATACAGTTTTCATTGATTCGTTTAGTTCTTTGAAATTCAAAAACAGAAAGTTTGAAAAAAAAACATTATTTATGGTTATTGTGAGGTTAATGGAACTTTCTCAATTGCTGCTGGCTACGTTTTGAATGTTCTGATTTTTTCAGTCCTTAAACGAGGAAAAGATTTCTTGCGGTATTTTTTGCTCCGGTCTTTTTCGTCTTTTTTGATTACATTTGTGATAGAGGCTGGTCTGACGTGTAACGTAAATATTTAGACATAATTTTCAGACACACTTAAATCGACTAAAACACACGATTTTGTAAAAATTTCCAACAAAAAGAAAATAGGCAAAATCTGTTCGAAAAATAAAACTGAAAAAGCACGATGGGTTAACTTTTCTCCCAAAATTAATTTTCCTTTCTGGAATCATCTCCTGGTAACACCTTAGTTCATAATGAAATCCAATTTTTCACCTTCTCAGGAACGTGTGGCCTGGAGTGTAAACGACTATATGGGACGGCAAAGGTCATGGCTTCGAATCTGACCTGAACCTGTTTTTTTTTCAGGTTAATCTGTTTCAAATAAAACTTTTGGCCCATTATCTATATGCCTATACTTTGGTGGCTGAGCTGACAAATTTAGACTCGTTTTTCTATCTAAAATTTTTTTTGTTGTTGTTGATTTTAGTTATTTGATTTACTTGTGGAGTTTGTATTTTACTAATTGTTCTGTTCCAAGATTTTCATCGAAGTTTCTTCGTGATCTTAGGAATTTTTGGATCATGATTTCTGGACCAAGATTTTTTTTTTCATGATTTTTCATCTACTGGTTATCAGTACGTTGAATGGAGTTTGTGTAGCATGAATCTTTCATGTTTTGGTTTTAAAAAATTTAGGAGAATTGATAAATTTTCCTCGGTTTCAGATGATAATTTCCAAATAAATCATTTAATTGTTTCTGATTTCGTCTGAGCCAGATTATCTTTCGGACTTTAGCATGTAGTTTGGTATCGCAAGAGAAGCGAAGCTCTGCTTCGCCTCTGTGTTGAAGTTGTTCTCTTGTTATTAATTTATCAACTTTGTTTTTAATAAATTGGTTAAGCTTATGTTTTATCGCAATAATCAAGTCGCGTCGTTCCAAGGGCGAATTTAAAACAATTTGGCTTTTTTTAGGAGGGATGGATCTTAAAGTTTTGATTTAAATATTTTTTATGACTATTGTTTCGTTATCGGCTTTATGAGGATCGACCCAAGTTTTTCCGCTTTAGCTGACGTTCGTTCATTGGGAGTTTCAATGTTTTTGAGACTGTTTATGAAAATCATTCGACCCAAAAATATGAAACTTCTGTTGATATAAATTTTTCAGCTCAGTTGTTCAAAAAACATGACTTCATTTTTCTTTTTTTTTCTACTGTCAATATCTTGTAATCCAAAACTCTTATTGTATCGCAAGGGCAATTGTTACGAAGCTCTGCTTAGCCTTTGTGTCAAAAACTTTTTGTTTTATCAAGAACGATTTTATCAACTTTTTCTATGTTCATGTCTATGATCGAGGTAGACAAATAAGATTGCAAATACAAAATTGATGAGGCAAAACCCGTGCAATGGATATTTTGGTAGTCATGTTTTTAGATGCTGAGCAATTTTTATGCGCATGCCGTACCAATGACGAAAAATCTAATTATTATGGAGATGAGACATATTGTAACATGACCTTGCTAATCAAACTACACCTTTTGCGGCAAAATTTGAAAAAAAAACGTAGTTTTACAAAACTTGCTTATGATGCTGAGCAATTTTCATATTCATGTCTATAGTCAAATCATAGTCAAAATTTTTTGGAAAGCTTGGTGTGGGGCTAACTATAATCCGGGCTTGAGGATGAAGCAAAACTACCCAGCTCAGATAAGTCACCAAAAAAACAGCAATTCAATGAGTAGCTCAATAACTGGAATGTTGACACCTTCACTCGTAGATGAACCATCTTTAAAAAATAGAGAAATAGCTGCTTTCAAAAAGTGGTTATCTACAGGTTAAGTTTTTAGACAAAAAGAAACAAAAATTGAGCCAAGTTCTGTTCTGCGATCAAACTATATATTTTGATTAGAGTCGTTGATGGATTTCACTATGTTTAAACCAATTTTTTTTGCCTATTTTTAACTTAAAATTATTTGATTCATTTTTGATAACAACCCACTCAATCCCATCAATCTACTGATAAAATGGGGCTACGAATGCAAAAAGGAATGTTCCTTTTTTCCATTGTTTTTGTTCATGATTTTATTCCATGCGAGATCTATTTAAAAGCAGTTATTTTTTGGAAGAGGGAATGTTTGCAAAATCTCGGGTATAAAAAATATAGCATGAAAACAATATGACTAGCATTTTCTCAGATATGAGAATTGTATGACTAGCATTCTTCCATATGTGAGAATTATATGCCTAACGTTTTACCATGAAGGCTAGCATTTTTCAATTCCTGTTAGGTCAAATGAGCCCAAAGTCTGTATCTATATACAAACCTGAAGACATGCAATCTCAGAACTGATAGAAAAAACCTGAGAAAACTAGAATTTTTGTATTTGCGGCAGGAATTTCTTCACAGCTCAGCTGAGTTATGTCAAAGAAAAGAACTTAGACAGTGATTATTAGTTAAAAAAACTTTTAAATTTCCCAAATATATCACAGAATTTTAAAAGTAAAAAAATGAGTTGTATGAATGTGGACATGCTATAACAATTGCACCTTTTCTTAGCCCGAGTGACAAGAAAAAAAAAGAGAACAGAATCATACTCAGTGCGTAGAACAACAACATCTCCTACTATGAGGGATGAAGTTTTGGAGGCGCATTGATTGGCTGTATTATTTTTGATAATTTCGGCTACAAAACCGTTGCTGTCTCACACACATGTTTATATTTACTCGCTTTTTTGGGGCTTACGAACATATTTCCACTTCAAACAAACCACGAAGAATAATTACGTCGTTGAAAAGTTTTGATCACTTTTATCATCAATGCAGCTAAATTATGTAGCTAAAGCTATAGCAATATAGCTTTTTTCCAGTTCTGCAAGTTCTGTCATGTTTTTTACCACCAGCGTATTAGGGGGGGGGGGGGGGGGACGCCCCTCCTCTCAGAGAATCGACACCCTGCCAACCCAAAAGTCCTGTACTATTTTGTACTATTTTGAGATATACACTTTTGACTGACTGACCCTAAAATTTTTCTAAATGCACCCTAGGCGCTAAAATATACTAATTTTGAGGAAGAAGCGCCCGCCGAAGAAAAAGTAATTTTTTTTAGTAATTATGACTTAAACAAAAAGGCACAGAAAGTTTTTTTTTCGTAAATTTATATTCACACGGTGATCGCTCAATTTTTATGCTATATTTTCCACTTTTAAAGATTTTATGCTAGTCGAGCTTTATGCTAGTTGATACACCGCCTAATTAAGCAAACATTTTAATTCAAAGTTATAATATTTACAATATTTTTATGTTTAAGTATCTTGTTTAAGCTAATATGTTTCTGAATTAACTGAACAACATAATCTTTCTGAACAACATAATCTTGATATCTCAAACAGCATCAAGGCGAGCTTTCAGGGGTGCTAAGATCCACCAGTCCCGAATCGTAGGCTAAGTGCTCGATCTGCTTCTGTATACTTTCAAGGTCGTTTTCATAAGAAGAGATCTTCTGCTGGATCTGTTTCTGAGTCGAATTCAGTTTGTTTTCGAGATCTTCAAACATGTTGCGAGCTAAATCCTCGAGCTGCTTTGAGTTTTGAGGGTCTAATTGATGGGAGGCGTCGTTTGTCTGGAATTTGGGCGGGAATTTGTCGTTCTTTTTCTGAGGGACCTAAAAATTTGATGACTGTTGCTTCGTAACAAGTTTCAATTTTTTATAGACACCGAAAGTAGCGAAAGGTCGTAAAGCGATTGAACCATCTATTTTTGAAGAATCAATTAATTGATTATATGAGTTGATTATATGAATTGTATATATAAGCAGCTCTTAAGTTTTGAGTTCATCTGTTTCCCTCGAGGATAAATAGTCTTGAATAGTTGAATACGTTATGACTTAAGCATCAATATGAGAACTTGCGTAAATCAACAATTGATGCTTAAGTCATAACCTATTCAACTATTTGAGACAACTTATCCTCGAGGGAAAGGACGAACTCAAAACTTAAGAGCTGCTCAGCGCTTTGCAGAGTTCAAACGTTGTGGCCCTGCTGGAAAAATTCATGAACAATCTTAGTTGAGTTTCCTGGTTGAATGTTTTTGCCTCAGCCGCAGGCATCGAGCGTGGAGCACTGTGAGCCTCGAACCAATAACCTTTCGGCTGAGAAACTGTTCATATTACTTTTCTAACCTTGTAAACTATGAAAATAGCAAACTGGAACATTTACAGTGTGGCTAGAAGTGTAGTTGAATGCAGTGAGTGGTCTGCTGTCGTAGAAGTGCAGTTGGTACTCTCTCCCTCCGTCCAAACCAGAAGCAGGCACGTGATCTTTCTTCATCAGGATACTAGGAGGCGGGGTCAATTTCACCTGCTAAATAAACCAGACTTTGAATATGGCGCGGATCCAAGAAAATCATCAGTCTAGTGTTCTAATTTCAAGCTAAAATTGATGTAAATAAAGCAAAAATTGCCTTTTGTCTGATTCAGGAAAATGTCTTCAGTTCTCTACATGTCCTAAGCTTCCACATAGTGTTAAGACGTTAATCAAAAATTGTTTCATGAAGTATGTTGATACTGAGAAAAATAGCTCAATTATCAAATTTGGTGAAAATTCGAAAACTTTGTGATGTCGGCCTGATCGCTCTTCAGAATTTAAAGTCTTATCTTTATTTTTGATTTTTTTAAAATAAATTTACCTTTTCCGACTCTTTTGAGGCTTTCTTGAGCTGTTCCAGTTCTAGATTGATCCTCTTGTCGTCACTGTACTGGGTGGGAGAGCTCACGTGGCCGAAGGCGTGGCTAATTAGAGCTGAAAATATGTCAGATTTTTAAAAAGCTTATCAATTTTTTTTATCAAAAATTAATCAATGCACGTAAAGCGACAGTCAGATCATGCAGGCTTTCACTTATCAATGCGAGAGAACTTGTTCTACCGACTTTCGAAAAAAACTGAATATTTATGGTTGGTGAGTTTTTTTTTATTCAGTGAATTTTCGGCGATCGAAATGATAGTTTTTAACAAACAAATTTTGTACCTCATTGAAGATATCTACTCCATAAAATCAAATTCAAAAAGATATTTTACCTCCGGTGAGTTCGAAAGTTGCCAATTTTGCCATGCTCTAGACTAATTTATGCGCGCTTTGAAGATTTTATTCATAATTCTGAAAGCGTAATAGGATTTATTTATGCCTGGTAAATTATCCCGCACAAAAAAAATCGTTCCAAATTGAATTGAAGCTAATCGGTCGTATAATTTTTTTACGACGCAAACTTTTACAATTGATCTTTGCGTTTGTCCAAACTTTATAGTTTTTAACAAACATATCGAATATTCATCAAATATTTTAACAAATATTTTTTTCTCCCAAAAATTACTCGATAAGTAATAAGGGGCAGTCGGAACCTTCAGGGCTTTGCCCTGTATACGAGCAGTCTTCTTGTTCCGTCTTTCGAAGAAAACTGAATATTTATGCTCGTTGTGGTTTTTTATTCAGTCAATTTTCGCCGGCCGAAATAGTATTTTTCGACAAAACTTTTTTATACCCCATTGAAGATGTCGACTTCCTGAGTCCAAATTTAAAAAGGTGTTTTACCTTCAATTTTTTGTAAAGTTCTGGGGGTTCCTAACTTGCCAAATTGGACGCAACTTTTACGACGCAACATTTCACACTCTGATACTGTTTAAAACTTATAGGTTTTCAATATTTCTTTTCCCAAAAACTGTTCGATGTGAATTAATGGACAGTCGCAACATTCAGGGCTTTGCCCTGATATACGAGCAGTCTTGTTTTTCCTAAGAATTAGTTTAGATTGTGTCATCTTTTTATTTTCAAGTTATTCAATTTTCGAAGGAAACTCAAAAGTATTCAACGCGTTGTTTAAAAGGGACGGCTATAAAACTTTCTGAGAAGGAAATGGGATACCCGTTGCATAAAATATCCGGAAAATTTACCTCCCAAAACACTAACAAGAAGCTTTCTGTATTCAACGCGTTGTTTAAACTGGACGGCTATAAAACTTTCTGAGAAGGAAATGTGATACCCGTTGCATAAAATATCCGGAAACTTTAACTCCCAAAACACTATCAAGAATTTACTTTGCTTATAATTTCTGCGTTTCGATTGAGTTTCGAAAAAAAGTAGCTAAAATTACGTTTCACGCAACTTTTTGATAGATTTTTATCGAAAAGTTTCGGTGCAACATTCCCCATCATTCCCCTCTAGAAGTCCAGTTTGTGGAAAAAGTTTTGCTAAGTAAAAACTATTTTTATTGAAACATGAAACAGACCTAGTTTTCTTTTTCTCTTTTTTTTTGGGGGGGGGGGGTGAATCCCTTATGCGCGAAAGACTGATTACGCGAAAATTACGTGAACACAATTTCAAGCTCATAATATTAAAATTGGCGTGGGTAAGGTAATTTTTCGCTAAGGTAATTTACCGTTCAGTGGGTAGTTGCGGGGATGTGGCGGAAGCACACTAGAAGGGGCCTCTGATTCAGTCATTCTTGTAAGAGTTTATAGTGGCAGACAGAATGTTAAAAATCAAGGTGTTTTTATTATCGCTAACTTGCTTCTTAATGTAACTTTACCGTCTCAATAGTCACTCAAATAGTTAACCATGTAATATATCCAAGCTGATTTTTTGAACTGCTACTTGAAAAGCCACAATTTAATTGTGTTTGTACAATTTTAATTTTAACGTATCTTTGTTGGCGTTTAAAGTAATGTTACCAGAGAGAATTTTTTTTATATTATTTGAACTGCGCGTTTTTATTGATTGTTCATTGAAGAAAATTTGTAGCTTGTTCAAATACATAGCTTGTTGGAAAATGCTTCTACCAGAAAAATGCGTTGATTTGAAAAATTGGATGAAACTTTGAGTTTGGTATGTACATAAAAAATGTTGAAAGACGTATGATTTGTGTTGGAAAACTCACAAAACCTGTTCAATTATTTATGTGAAATCAGTTTGAGCTTGGAAAAATGAAGCTAGAGAAAAATTCCTTGTAAATTATTCAACTTTGATGGAAGTTGTCAATAACATCTGCTCTGAAATCACGAAAAATTGCAAAATGTTGTATACGATGCAGCGTTTCAATAAAACATAGTTTTCAGAGTGATAAACGGTTTTACTTTGTTGCCTTGTTTGAATGAACAATTTTTTCAGCAGAGCGGGTAGATTCTCAAAAACCAATGAGCAATCGCCGCTCAAAAAAGTTCATTGGATTACTTTTTATGTATAACTATATTTTAAATTATATTTGCGTGAGAAATTGTGTGTGTGCATGTGTGCGTGTGTGAGTAATTTTTCTCCTTATTAATGTCTTGTGAAACCACCCTCTGATCCGTTCAAATCTGATGAGATGATTGCCACATGAAATCGAACGTTTCATTGTTTATCATGTTCCTTTTTTGATCAAGGGTTCTTCAGAGAGTAGAAAAAAATTCATACTTCGGAATTAGGTAATCTTTTTTTCAATGTGTAATCTCAGTAACCAATTTTTTGATAAAATGGCGAAAAAAAAATAAATAGTTTCTCTTTTTTGTTCATTTCATTTGTGAATATTTCAACCATTTGTTTCAATACACCTTCAAAGACAAGCGGAACTTTCAGAGCTTTGCCCAGATATAGGAGCTGTCTTGTTTTCATTTTTAAAGCAGTTTAGCTATTCTGTTTTGCAGTTTGCAATAGTTTTCTGCCCTTTTCTCTTTAAAAGTTTTCTTTAAGTAAAGTTTTCTTTTCTGAAAGTTTTCTTCAAATAACTATTACAAAGAGCATTGGACAAAATTTGTTTTGCAGTGAAGTTAGCGTGTTCAGTCTAACATATGTCATAAATCATACCGAATAATAATATTCAAAAAAAAATCCCAATAAAATTATGACTTATAAACTTGAAGACACTTAGTAATTTTCTTGAAAAACTAGGCACTTAATTATTGCCCGAAATCTATTATAGAAGCCAAGATTTTAGCCTAATAAAGCCACATATGCCTGGTATCATTGCAATTAGACATTTTAATTAGACATTGTAATTATATCGGCTTAGTTGTCTCATGACTGCCACATGAAATCGAACGTTTCAATGTTTAACGTGTTCTTTTTTCGACGAAGGGTTCGTCAGAGAGTAAAAACAAATTTCATACTTCGAAAGTAAAAAATTTGTTTTCCAATGTGTAAATTCAGAAACCAACTTTTTGTGTGACTTTTTGAACTATGACAATTATCGAAAATTTTTGAAATCATTTTATCTGTCAAAAAAATTGTAAACTCTAGATGAATTAGTTTTAAGTTCCGGCTTTTAAAGAAAATGTGACAAACTTGAGCTATTTTTTTGTGCAGTCAATCTCTGAAGCCCAAATCCAAAAAATATACAAACAAATGTGTACTTTATAGATTGTTTTTTATTGTAATTTTTCTGGGGGATTGAAAATTGCTAATTTAGTCTCTTTGAAATAAGAAACACACGATATGTTGCTTTTTTTATAACACGCATAAGGGGCCTGTCAGTGTGTTCCAAAAAGATTAAAGTTATTCGGTTTGAGTATTAGATTACGAGACGCTAATTACATCTTTTTATAAATTACATTAACGTGTGTGGGATAAAACGAAGAAAAAATTTTGAATATTTTTTGTTCATTTAATTTGGGAAATTTCGACCATTTGTGTCTATTGACCTTCAAAAATAAGCGGAACTTTCAGAGTTTTCTCCAAATATAGGAGCTGTCTTGTTTTCAATTTTTTAGTGGTTTGCACTATTCTGTTTCTGCCTTTTTTTCTTCAATTTGTTTTCTTTAAATAAAGTTTCCTTTTACGAAAGTTTTCTTTAAACAAATGTTAACAACTAGCATCGCAGATTTTTTTTTGCAATGAAACTGGCGTGTTTTGACGAATATATGTCAAAAATCATCACGAATAATAATATTCAAAATAAACATCCCAAAAAATTATTACTTAATAACTCGAAACCACCTAATCATCTTCTTGAAAAACTAGGCAATTAATTAATGCCCGAAATCTATGATAGTTGCCAAGATTTAAGCCTGATAAAACTACATTTGCCTGGTATCTTTTAATTAGAAAATGAGTTCTCTCAACAAACCATATTAGTTTAACAAAAAAACGAGTTGGACCAAATAACAAAAAAAGACCCAACAATTTTCATTAAAATATAACAGCTATTCGTCAAACAATTGCTTCATCTAAGAATGTGGTCTACTTTTTCAATTTTTGATTTAAACTTTTCATTGTGAAAAAAAGGAGGACATAACTTCCTTCAAATTTTAATTTCAACTAACTTTTTGTAGCAAAATGAAAACTCACTTAAAGTGCACCGACTTAAACTACAATTGGTTCCAGTAAATTGATTTTTTAAAATTATTTAAAACTAGTGTACTAATAAATTAAAAATAGAAAAAAATTCATTCAGATCCAAATTGGACTTTGAACACCAGATTCAGAGCCTGAGACAGAAATGTACAACTCATTGTGGAAAAGAAAATACTGTGATCGCGAACATTTTAATTGTATTGAAACAGAGAGAGAATAAAAACTGTCTCTTAAATCATATATCGAACCTGTCTTACCAAACTGGGAGCGCAAAACCAATACAAAATTCTAGAAATTTTCGAAATTGTTTTACTAGTAAAAATTAACTTTTAATCTTAATATTGTGTGGAAAACAATGATTAAACGTTTTACTCTGGGTAAAACTTGACACCGCCTAGTTGAAAAATAAATTTTTCCTGAAAGGAGTTCGTCTATAGGCTTTGTTTTCAATCGTTTTTATGCCAAATTTTACCAGATCATTTGTTTGGAAAATGTGCTTAAGGAGATTTTTGAGTGCAAAAACTATTTAAAAAAACCTGAGCCTATTTTTTATTTATCTGGCAGCTGAATTTAAAATCTCTTTCTTTTAAATCATAAAAATTTTCACCAGATGCACGCGTAAAACTTCAATTAAAAAGTTCTGAAAAGTCAATCAAATGGTTTTTAGAATTTTGTCTCAGCTGTTCAAATTGTCTCATCGCTAACTCAGCCGTATAAACTTCATGAACAGTCAGTAAATTGTTTAACTGCATGAAAGCGCTATTGTTTCCATTTTTCTTAACAAACCTTTCATTGAATAAGTTTTGAAAGATATAAGTTTTCCTAAAATTCACTTTCTACGTATTTCCATACAAAATTGGTTTTGTATATTTAGTGGACTTATGTTTGCTCATATTCAGTGGAGCAAAATGAAAACTCACTTAAAGTGCACCGACTTAAGTTACAATTGGTTCCAGTAAATTGATTTTTTAAAATTATTTAAAACTAGTGTACTAGAAAAATAAGAATAGAAAAAATTTCATTCAGATCCAAATTGGACTTTGAACACCAGATTCAGAGCCTGAGACAGAAATGTACAACTCATGGTGGAAAAGAAAACACTGTAATCGCGAACATTTTAATTGTATTGAAACAGAGAGAGAACAAAAACTGTCTCTTAAATCATGTATCGAACCTGTATTACCAAACTGGGAGCGCAAAACCAATACAAAATTCTAGAAATTTTTGAAACTGTTTTACTAGTAAAAATTGATTTTTAATCTTAATTTTGTGTGGAAAACAATGATTAGTGTTTTACTCTGGATAAAATTTGACACCGTCTATCTGAAAAGTAATTTTTTCCTGAAAGGTGTTTGTCTATAGGCTTTGTTTTCAACCGTTTTTTTGCCAAATTTTACCAGATCATTTGCTTGAAAAATACGCTTTAGGAGATTTTTGCGTGCAAAAACTATTTTAAAAAAGCCTGAACCTATTTGTTATTCATCTGGCAGCTGATTTTAATATCTGTTTATTTTTTTAAATCATAAAAATTTTCACCAGATGCTCGCGTAAAACGTCAATTAAATAGGTCTGATAAGTCAAGCAAATGGATTTTAGAATTTTTTCTCAGCTGTTCAAATTGTCTCGTCGCTAACTCAGCCGTATAAACTTCATGAACAGTTAGTAAATGGTTTGTTTGCATGAAAGCGCTATTGTTTCCGTTTTTCTTAAAAAAACTTTTCATTGAATAAGTTTTGGAAGATTTGAATTTTCGTAAAATTAACTTTCTACGTATTTCCATAAAAAATTAAACTTGTATATTTAGTGGACTGAGCATAAGAATTGTAAGACACTTTTGGAAAAGGTCTCCTAGCCTTCAACAACAAATTTCACAAAAACTGCGATAGTTTGTTACATGCCTATTTTCTATTATCGATGACATCGATGTTTTTGTTGGCAAAAAGGTCTAGGTATTTGACAGAATCTTTTCTTGGAAAAATTCAACTGATTTTCTTGATGAAAAGAAAATTTTACCAATATTACCCAACGAATTTTAAATTAATTTTAAATTTACCAAAGAGCACGCCTCAAACCAATTGGAGAGATTTCTGAGACGAACAGAATCTCCGCTGACGTGCGAATAGCTCGAAATTTACCGCTCGCTAATTGTTACAAATTGGCTAAATTGACAACCTTTAAACCCTCTGACTGTACAAAAAATGATCACAGGTGAGTTATCTTTTCATTTTGAGATCAAGACAACAATACTTATCGAAAGATAAAAAAAAGTTACTTCGATTTTATATTCAATATTTGTTTGGAGAAAAATTCACTGCGACTACTAATGTTTTGTCATTTTTAAAATGTTTTCAGAACATAAACGCTATTTGGGCTGTTCAACTCAAGGCAAGTATTATGTGTGGAGGGCCAATGGGATCAATTTTCCCTCA